CGCCTGGAGGATCTCGCCATGGGCGAGGGAGGAGACCAAGGGCTCGACTACGTGGACGGCGCCGCTGAGGAGCTCCCTCCACAACCTCAGACCGGGTTAGATGGGGAGGGGCAACAGGGGGGAATGGATGATGCGGACTCCTTTAGCTTTGGTCTTCCACCAGCCCAACAGCTAGGGGGGTCTGACGGGCCGCAGCCGCTTGCAGCGGGAGGGACTGATGGGCAGCCGTTAGAGGGGGGCGGGGAGCGCGAGCCCGCTGCCGATGAGAACCCGTCACCTTACGGTGTGCGATCACTGCTGCTCTGGGGGGGCCGCGGCCACGCCGCCGCGCCCGCCGCCCAACCACCGGCTGCACCGGCCCCTGCGCACGTCAGGGGCGCCGCCGCTGCCGCCGCTGCCCCTGCCGCAGCGGTCGCGCCCAGTGGCGGTGCTCTACCTGCAACGCCCCGCCCAGTGATGGGCGCCCTCTCGGTGTATCAAAACCCTGCCTTCCAGTCCCCTGCGCCCTCCCCCGCCGGCAGTTTCATCACGGCGCGCGGCATGGACTCGCTGCCAGCTACACCGCCGACGGCAAGGCCTGGATCCCCACCACCTCGCAGCCATGTTGTCCCCACCCGGTCCGGTGGCATAGCCCCTGCTGCGGTGAACGGTCTGCAGGGATTGTTGCGCGGCGACAGCAACGGCCGTGGCATGTACGGGATGTCGCAGCTCAGCCACACCGCAGCGCGCGCTGGTCGCCTGGGCCCTGCACAACGTATCCCCAGTTCAACCCCGCCGGTGGAGGAGGCGGCGGCGGCCCCCTATCAGCCGCAGCAGCACTTCACCGCGCCGCCGCCGCTGCCGCAGTCATCGCCGTTGCAGCAGCAGCCACCGCAGCCGAACCCCATGTCGTCGTTGCCTGGCCCGTCTGCCGTTGCTCAACAGCAGCCAGAGTTCGAGTTCGACCCTGCCGGTGGTGTCGATGATGCTGTTGCGACCTGGTTTGGCCTGGGCGACATGGTCGAGCCGCCCATACCGCTGCACGACCTCTGCCTGCTAGCTCGTCGCCTACAGACCGACGGCGCGTTCTTGCAGGCGCACGGCTGGCATGACGGCAAGCTGGTCTCCGCGGAGGCTCTGATCAGCGCCTTAGAGCTGCCGTTGGTCCCAAGGGCGTCCGTGCGCTACGGCCCCGACGACTACAGCACGCAGCAGCTGCTTTGGCACCTGCACGACCTCAACCAACGCAACCGGCAGCGCAGCTCGACAGCCTACGTCACGGCTGACGACCTCATTGCCGACCTGCTGCGGCGCCTCAAGGCCCAGGTCGGCGACGGCCCGCACTGGCTACAGTATGCACATGAGCTGAGGGAGTACCTGCGGGGCAACGGGCGGGGGTCGGTGGCGCCGCCGCCAAGACTGATCTCGTCGCTGGCGGGTGCTGGCACATCGGCGGCGGCCCCTCGGGGCACGCCGCCGGCCGCGGCGGCAGCCACAGGGCAGCCGCCGCTCGTGCCAGTCCCCGCTGGTGGTGGTCACGCGGTGCCGCCAGCAGCCCCCGCGCAAGGAGCCGTCCCCGCAGCCCCACCGCCGCCACCGCCGCCAGCCCCGCCTGCGCCCAACCCTGCAGCTCCCGCCCCCGCCACGGCAGCTGCAGCTGCAGGGGTTGACGATGAACCGCCGCCCTTGGGCGCTGCTTACGCATCCCACCTTAATGAAGTGGGCAGGCGCCAGCTGCAGCTTACCAAGTTCCGCGACCGCTTCGATGGCAAGGCGAGCGACTACACCAAATATGAGTCGGCGGCGAGGGGCTGGGTGCAGACTGCCCTGGTCAATGCAGTACCGGGCTTGCCATGGCCAGACTTCCGTCAACTGGGCAACCTCATGGCCAACCACACGTTCGTCAACTGCTCGGACCCCAGCATCTGGTACGAACAAAGCTTCCTGGATCTGGAGCGCGACCACTACAACGCCTACAGGCAGCGCGGCGGTGTTAAGGAGCAGTACCGCGGGCAGCGGATTGGCGACTTGGGGGACTTCACCGAATACATCCTGCAGGCCCTGAAGCGGCGGTGTGGTGGCAATCGTGGTGATGCGGAGGACTGGTTCAAGGGCTTCGCGTGGCCGCCCGACCCCAGCAAGCCGGGCTTCGGCCAGACCCCGGCCAAGGTCTATGCTGAGTACGTGCACGGCTGCAGCAACCTCCCGCAGTTGGAATACCCGCAGGCTCGTCAAGTGCGCAAGCTGCTGGAGGCCAGCCGCAACCTGCGTGGCTATGACTTCATCCGCACCCGGTACGAGGCGCTGAGTGAGCTGCAGCAGCAGGGCTTGACGCTGGAAAGGCTGCGCGACTGGCTGTCTGACATGGAGTCAGCACGCTCCTCCGAGGGGGGCCTGCAGTTCAGAGCGCCTGCTGCCACCACGGCCACCAGTACACGCCGTGCTGCTGCAGCGTTCCACGCCGCTGCTGCGCCCAGCCCGCCCGATACCAGAGCCGCCTCGGACCGCTTCACGCTGCAGATGGCGCAGGACCTCGACGCCGCGCTGGAAACCACTTGCCCTGACGCCGGCATTTGGTTCACCAACCACCTCCGCGGTCCTTGCCCGATCCACGCCTGGTACACGGCCACTCCGCACCTGCTGTGTGACTGCCGCGTCGCCAAGGATTGCTGGAAGTCGAGGGACGCAGCAGGCGCGCTGCGCCGGGGCGATGAAGGCATCCTGCGTGCAGAAGCGGAGCAAGTCCTGCCAACTCAGTTGCGTGCTGACCTGCCATTTGCTAGGCGCCGCCGGCCAGCCTATCAGCCCCCGCCGCCCGATAGGCCGCCTCCACAGCAGCAGCGCGCGCCGCAGCCCTCGCGCCAGTCAGCAGGAGCCAATCTGCAGCACCCCTTGGCCACCAGGGCAGCATCGAACCAGTCACGCTCGCGGGTGGTCCCAGCGCACCACGCCGCTGCCGGCAGCTATGCGGCGCAAGTGCAGGAGCCGCCCCCCTGGCAGGACTTGATCGACGGCCAGCAACTCCTGTACTACCATATCGGCGAGCAGCATCAGCAGATGCAGGCCATGTCCGCCGCCCTCCTGCGTATCCACCCGCATGCCCAGCTGCCCTACCTTCGGCACCTGCGACCGCCGGAGCCGGTGGCGTCCCACCTGCCCCACCCGTCGGCCCAGCACGTGACACCAGTGGCAGCCACGGCACCCGCCATAGCGCCGGCGCCCGCGCACGCCGCCATGCCGCCCGGCGCCATGTACGAGCCTGCTGGACCGCACAGCGTCATGCATGTCGGCATGCACGGCGCGCCGCCGTCAGCCAGCCAGCCGCCTGGCGCCGTGGCCCCGCCTACGGCTGGCTACACGCCGGGCATGTCGGCATACTACGCCACCATCAGCAGCATCCCGCCAGCTGACGCCCCTGCGGTGGCGTACGCAGCGGCCCCAGCGCTGCCGGCCCTGGCGCAGGTGGCCACCAACGGACCCCTTGGGTTCGAGCAGCGTGCGCCCGCAGAAATCCTGCCACACTTGCGCTCCCAGCCGGCCAAGTTCGCAGGTGATCCGCATGCAGTGACCAGCACCTCCGCAGCGTCGCCTACGCTGTCCTCGCTCCTGCAGCAGCTCCTGGCGGGCCTGTCTCAGGCAAGCGGCGCCGCGGGTTCACTGCAGCGGCTTTGTGGCACCGGATCCTCGTCATCCGCTGCCCCCATCCCGGCAGCGGTCGCCGCTGCAGCCGCCGCGGCCGCCAACACCAGCATCCTGCGCTCGGGATCCCTGCCATATCTCCAGCAAGCCCGCCGCACCACCGGCCTGCTGGTCAGCAGTGCAGCTCGGCCCATGGGTACTGGTGGACTCGGGCAGCGCAGTGCACATCATGGCGCAACGGGTTGCCAGCAGCCTGGATCTGGACGTCATCCCCTTCCCGTCGCTGTCCATCGCCACGGCGGCGGGACGCAGCAGCGTCTTGGGCGTCACGGAGGTCACCTTCAGCTTCGCCAGCGGCACGCCCGACGCCATCACCCACCGCACGTCAGCCCTGGTCGTGGAGGACACTGGTGCAGAGGCGTTTGACCTGATCCTGGGCACCGAGGTCCTGTGGCACAACTTCGGCTGCGACATCCTGCTGGGTGGCCCCACGCCGCTGCTCCGGCTGCGCCGAGGCTACGTGCACCCGCAGCCCTGCGCCCACCTCCCCACCACCTCCCTGCCCATTGCCATGCCTGATCCACTGCCAGCTGCCAACGCCACCGCCCTTGACGTCGGTGGCGCCTCGCTGCTGCAGTCCCAGCCGCTGGAGCAGCCGCTAGCAGCGCTACCAGCCACCGCCGGCCTGCCTCGTGCCGCCGACGGCCAGCCATGACGCAGCCGCCGTCCGCAGCGGAACGGCAGGGTTCCGCTGCCGGGTCCTCGCCGCCGTGCCGCGGCGACACAAGTCCGGGCAGTTGTGCTCCGGATGGGCGTCGGTTGCCTCCGCAGGAAGCGGAATTCGAGCGGCTGCCGCAGGGCATGCTGTTGACAAAGCGTTCAGACCTGTCAGCAGTACAGCGGGAACAGCTGGTGCAGCTGTTGCGGGAGCATGACGACCTCTTCGCCCGCAGCCTGACGGACTTAGGCGAGTACAGGGGTGACGTAGGGCCTTTCCGCATTGACCTGATCCACGACCGGCCTATTTGGCAGCGACCATGGAACCACTCCGCTGCCGAGTACGAAGTTATGGATCAGAAGTGCGGGGAACTAGCCGGGGCCAACATCATCGAAACCAGCCGCAGCTCCAAGTATGCCATGAACTCGGTGATGCCGGTTAAGAAGGATGCTAACGGGCAGTTCACGGAGACGCGTTTCTGCCAGGACGCGCGCCGTACCAACGCTGCCACCATGCCTGATCCGTACAGCCCGCCCCTGCCGGAGGAGCTGTTTCAACGCATAGGGTCTGCCCGTTGGCTAACTAAAGCAGATTGCCGCGCCGCATTTCTGCAAATCCCCATCCTGCCGGAGCACCGTGAGCGCACCTCCTTCTGGTGGCGCCGGGACCTGATGCAGTACCGGCGGATGGTGTACGGCCTGCGCAATGCCACTGCGCACTTCCAGCGGGTTATGGATTTCCACATACGGCAGCACGGGCTGCAGGACTTCGTCTGCGCCTATGTGGACGACCTGCTGATCTTCTCCAACACCTTTGAGGAGCACTGCGAACACCTGCGCCGTGTTTTCGCCATGCTGCGGGCCATCAACATCCGTCTGCACCCGGAGAAGACGATGGTGGCCAGCGACTGTGTGGAGTTCCTGGGGTTTATGGTCTCGGCTGACGGCATGGGCCCTACCCGCGCCAAGGTAGCCGCCTTCCTGGCGCTCACCTCGCCCACGTCAGCCACCGCTCTCAAGACCATCCTGGGCATGTACGGCTACTACTGCGACCTAGTCCACCATTACGCCGACATCGTCGCCGGCATCACGCCGCTGACCTCCAAGAACGTTGTCTGGCGCAGCGACACTTGGCGTCCTGAGCATCAGGCGGTGCTGGACGAGCTCAAGCGCATCTACTCTGAGGAGGGGCTGGTGCTGCGGCGTGTGCACCCCGACCGGCCCTTGATCCTGCATACGGACTTCTCAGGTGTGGGAATTAGCGGCGTGCTGGGTCAGCTGGACGATCAGTCGCGGGAGTACATGTGCGCCTGCATATCGCGGTCGCTGAACGTGCATGAGCGCAAGTACACCAGCTACAAGGGCGAGCTGCTGGCAGTGGTCTGGGCCGTCAAGCTGCTGCACAGCTACCTCAGCAGCCGGCCGTTCACGGTCGTTACCGATCACGCCCCGCTGCTGTGGCTGATGACGACCTCGGAGGGCCTCACCCCGCAGTACGCTCGCTGGGCGCTGACGCTGCAGGCCTACGACTTTGACGTCGTGCACCGCCCAGGCCACCTCCACCAGAACGCGGATGCCCTCAGCCGCAGCCCGCTCCCGTCTGCCCATGACGGTTCTGGTGCCCGTCTTGACGAGGAGGATGACCCCGTTCGCCCACCGCCGGCGCTCGTGGCTTATCCTGGGGTGGAGTGGCCGTCGTTCGCCTTCCGCCGCCGCCTGCCCACGGCCGCGGCGGTACTGGCGGCCCGTTTCGCGCTGTCCCCGTCCACAGCGTCGCCAGCCAGTGTCATCTCCTACGCCGCCAGCTTGGCGCCCGTGGCGCTGCTGCCAGCATACACGGTCGTTGCGGCAATCCCCGAGCGCATCCGCTGCTTGTCGCTGCATGCAGTGGAGGCGTCGAGCGCCACCAGCAGCCTGGTCGTGTCAGCTGGAGAACTTGCAGATCCCGTGCCTGATCCGGTGCCCCCTGCCATGCGCCGCGCGACCATGCAGGTGCGGCTCGAGCGCCCTGCGCTGCGCGCCATTGTGCCGGTCAGCGCCCTGCCGCTGCGCCTGCGGGTGCCCGACCAGGCGGTGGTCGGCATCAACACGGCGCTGGTGCAGCACGGCCTGTTCCCCGTGGCGCTGGGAGGTGACGGTGTGGCGGTAATGGAGCTGCCGGGCGGCCTCTGCTCGGGCCTGCTGGCGTGCCTGCAACTGGGCCTGCGAGTGCGCCGCTATATTCCCCTTAGCGGCGACCCCACCTCGCAGGCAGCTGCTGCGGCGCTGCAGCCGTATGTGGTGCGGCAGTATGGCGGCTTGCTGGCGGCTGGTGCTTGGGACGAGGGGTTGCGCGCGCCGGCATGCTCAGCGACGGAGCTGGTGCAGTGGGCCGTGTCGGACGCTGGGGCAGAGGCGCTGGGTCTCCTTACCCAAGGTCAGTGGCTGGTCATGGGCAGTTGGGCGGGCGACGTGGGCTGGTCAGCGCAGTTGTACGTGAGCTTGCTGGGTGCGGTGCAGAGCAGCATGCGGGCGGCAGGGGTCCCGCCGCCGGCCTTCCTGTTGGAGGGTCCCCCGTGCACGCTAGAAGCCGCAGAAGCCGCTGGCCTGCCGCTGGGCTACCCTGCCACTGTTGACGCCGTGCAAACTGGCGCTGTCTTGCACCGTCTCAGCAGCATCTACACCAACCTGGCCAACCCAGCTCACCTGGCTTACTGCCTCCGCCGGCTCCCACCGCCGGCGGACGCAACGCTAGCATCTCGCCTCCCTGACGGCTGGTTCCCAGCCCCAGCCACGCAGCCACTGCCTTCGCCGTACGCGCCGCTAGAGGTCCCGGGCGTCCCATGGGTCGCGCTGCCGCCACTAGCGCTGATCGGCACGCCGCCGCTACTGCAAGGGGCCAACCGCGTTCCTGCAGTGCCCGATGCCGCCTTGGTCGCCGCGCTTGCAGGCTTTCCGCCGCTGCCCCAGCATCCCAGTCTGCCAGCCCTGCTGCCGCGTCAGCCACCGCCGCCGGTCCTCACGGCGGCGCTAGCCAGTTGCCTTGCGCTTCATCGCGCCTTCGTCACACCTCATGACCTGCAACCGCTGCAGCCTCGGCACGTAGCCGAACCGGCGCGTCCGCTGGGGGGGGGTGTCAAGTGACGTCGACGCCTTGGAGGCCAGCTTCAGCGTGGACACGCAACTCGGCTCAGGTTTGGCGGCGGCCGCAGCACTGGAGGCAGCTGCGGCTGCGCACGATGCAGCGTGGCTGACGGTACTGGCGTGCGACGTCTTGGTACAGCGGACGCTTGGCTCGGCGGTCGTGGAAGCCACCGCCGTGCTTGCAGCGGCAGCCGAGGTGCAGGAGGAGACAGCAGCAGCGGGCAGCGATCCTGACGTGTGGGGTGATGCGGAGGCCATGGCAGTCATTCGTGCGCCGCTCTCAGGCCGTGTGCCGCCTGGGGAGGCAGCCGGAGCACCTTCCGCCAGGGTGTTGCGTCGCGCGTCGCACTACCGCTGGACTGGCTCGCAGCTGCTGCGCATGATGGCGGATGGCTCCACGCGCGTCTGCCCGCCGCCGGCAGATCGCATGGAGCTGACTCAGCGGACTCATGCAGTGGCGCACTTGGGTGTGCGGCGTACGTTGGCGCTGCTGCAGCTGGGTTACTGGTGGCATGGCATGCGCAGCACTGTTCGGCAGGTAGTGGGCTCCTGCAAGCTCTGCGACATGTGCAACAGCTCTGGCTCGTCGCGACCAGTGCAGCTGCAGCCACTGGCGATCAAGGGCATGTTCTACCGCTGGGGCATGGACTTGGCTGGGCCGCTGCCGCCCACCAAGCCGCACGGCTTCACCTACGTGATGGTGTGCGTAGAACACTTCACCAAGCATGCGGAGTTTCTGCCGTTGCGGGATAAGACGGCGGACGAGACGGCCAGGGGCTTGTTGGAGGTCATCGCCAGGTTCAGCGCGCCGGCGGAAGTAGTGACGGATCAGGGGGGGGAGTTCGAGGGGGCCTTCAGCCGCCTTCTTGAGCAGTGTTACGTGGACCATCGGCCGACGTCTGCGTATCACCCGCAAGCCAACGGTGCAGCGGAGCGGCTGGTGCAGGTGCTCAAGTCAGCCCTGCGCAAGTACTGTGCTGAGAGCGGCAGTCCTGAAACATGGGATCAGCACTTGCCGTGGTTGGCTCTCGCCTATCGCTGTTCACCGCAGGCCTCCACCAAGCTTGCCCCGTACACCCTCATGTACGGCGTGCCGCCAGTCGTGCCACCGGCGGTACGAGAGCGCTTTCAGGCGGAGCTGGCCTTCACTGGGAATGCCGGTGAGCAGGTCTACGCGCGGGCCTTGGTGGAGAGAGCAGCGCTGCTGCAGCGGCACGCGCCGGCCGCTGCCGGCAACCTGCTCATAGCGCAGCACAGAGACACCAGGCGGTACGCGCTCGTGCGCTCAGGGCTGTGGCGCCCCCCGCAGCTGCAGTTTGCTACGGGCGACTACGTCTATGTCCGGCGGCAAAACCCCAGCAACACGCTGCAGCCGCCGGTGCGCGAGGCCGTCTTGCGAGTGGAATCGGTGGGTCCCTTGGGCGTGGCGGTGCTCATAGGACGTGACGGCACGCGCATCAGGCGCCGGGTGGAGCAGCTTGTGCCCTGCCATCTGCCAGACTTGGACCCTATCGTCGACCCGCGGCTCATGCCCCCGGCAGCGGACCACGCCTGCCAGGTCTGTGCCTCGCCTCGTGACGGCGGCAAGATGCTGCTGTGCGACGCCTGCGGTACCGGTTGGCACCTGTACTGCCTCGTGCCACCACTGTCGCAAGTCCCCGAGGGCAGCTGGGTGTGCCCGGAATGCGTGCAGCTGCAGCGGGAGGCGCCGGCGGGGCCTGCGCCGCCCCAGCCGGAGCCCACCGCTGTGCTGTTTCCGAACGCCGCCACGCGGCGGCGTGACGACGAGGCGGCGGCACTGGATGGACGCCGCATCGTACGCATGGTCAGCAAGGGGCGCGGTCGCGGGCGCGAGGAGCAGCTCGGCGTGCTGCGCTACCGCGGCGGTCTGGCGAGGCCCCACTACTTCTATGCCGAGTGGGACGGGGGCTTTGCTGAGGCGGTCGGGCTGCCTGCGGCGAAGCGCATGCTGATGCCGGAGCAGACGAGTACGAGGAAGAAGGGCAGGTAGCGTTGTTTTGGGCTAGGAAAAGGCGTGCCATGCCGCGCGGCCGAGAAGGGGGTATTGCTTAGGTTGTGGAAGTTAGGTTGGCGTTGCCGGCTCGCTGCACCGCGAGTGCGAGGAGTAGGGGTTATCCTAGGGAGCGCAGCCAGACTCGCCGCTGTTGGGGGTAGAAAGGGGGAGCGCCAAGCCGCGTGGCCCGCTATAGAAGGTTGGTGTAGGGATCTTGGTGGCTAGTGGCTAGTGGGTACGTCAAGCCGCGTGCTCTCGGTCTTGCTTCGAGTTCGTCAGTTGCTTAGGGAAGGAACGCCAAGCCGCGTTGCCTGTTATGCCTGTTTTGGGCGTTGTGACTCTTTTCTCAGTTGTGTCAGGTGAGACAAGGGGGTGAGGCCAGGACGCCTGGTTTTTGGTTGGATATTGGGTGGCAGCGTACTTCGCCGTGCCTGCTGCTGGTGCCTTTTCTGTGGCGGAGGCTTGACTATTGCCGCTTTCGTGGCCTGCCTGCCTGAATTGGGGGTGGGTTTGCTGTGCTTGGTTTGCCGGTTGACCCGTGGGTCGGTGCACCTTAGGCTCTGACCGCCTGAGTGCCGCCCGTGCTGGCTCTATGGCTGGCTTGGTAGCTGGATTCGTGAACCTGAGGATTGCTGCGTGGATTTCCGTGCGGTGTGGTATGCGCGCGTTTCAGTGGCCAGACGTGCGAGCCTTGGTTTTTCCTGTGGAGTTGACTGTCGTACCCGTTGCCGGTAGCAGTGTGACTTGGGGTGTCCTGGGCTGTTGTTCCGCCCTTGCGTCGTCGAGGTCCTCGGTCGGGGGGGGGAAGGTTCCACCCCATGTCATGATTTGGCATGTTTCATCGCTGGAGCATGACAGCTGTCGTGTGCAAGTCGTGTTCCTAGGACCAACCGTCCGACTGTCTTGCCGAAGTTGGAAGAAGAAACGCCTGCGGTGTTTATTGGTTGCTTTACGTATAGCGGTTTATTGGTTATCCGCTTGCTTTGCCAGTGTTTGCGATGCGCTTGCCCGTATCTCGCGATTTGGTCGTTAGTTCGTTGCCTTCCCTGGAGTCGTAGATCTTGGGCCGGCTTGTTTGCTCCCGAGAGCGCCTGGTTCGGCGCTTCTCGGGGCCTCACAGTGCTACACCGCACGGCAACATTTACAGTCCGTAATCGTTGTTAGAGTCCAACGAAAGCCTACTATACTGACCGTGCATAGCGCTACCACCGCTGCGTCGCAATAGCCGGCTTGGCCAGCCCTATCGCGTAGCACCTATCTAGCACACCAGCCTGCTATTTAGTAGCCGTATTAGCGCCGGCAATCGGAGCGTAGGGCCTCAGCCGCCTACTTACTTCGGGCCTCTGCGACGTCGTGGCGCGTCGCACCGCTTACAGTATCGCCTACATCATATAGGGGTTACCGGGCGGTGCCTTTGGCTACCACATCCCGGTGCGGAGTGTCCCTCAGCCACACTTCGCGTCAGCATAAGGCCTCATTCTCAGGCAGCTGACTAATCCCTGGTGCTCCTTGCCGGCACCACCCATTCAACAATTCAAGCATAGGATTGTTGTTTGGTCAACCCGCTCCTTTAAGGTTCCACCCCATGTCATGATTTGGCATGTTTCATCGCTGGAGCATGACATTCAGTCTGGGTGCATGGTGGGGGGCCTAGTCAAACCCAGGGTTTGGGGTGCGTATCTGACCGTTCGAGCGGCGCTTGAGCCCGCCATCACACCTACAGACTCCTTAGACATGTAGTATCATGTGGCCAAGCGTGGGCCTCGATTGGTTGCGCCATGCGAGTCTGGTTGGGGATGCAGACCTAGGTCATGTATGGTGGGGATCTACAATAATCCTGTCACACCCCGTTTTTTCGCCGCGTGACAGGGGGGATAGCAGCGCACCTCCTTTAGTTTATCCTACGTTGTTAGGTGTGATGTTAGTTTTACGTTCCCTATACGCAAGATGTCCTTAGGTTTCCCAAATGTCTTGGACCCGCGGGACCCTGGTCCTCATTATCGTCTGTAATACCACTAAACCAGGCCAACCTGATCCCTATCCATCTTGTTTGTTCTAGGGGAATGCGAGTCAAGGGGCGGGCAGCGCCCAAGCAAGGCATTCCAATTGATGCCATCGCTCGCGCGCCATGCGGCACATAAAGGATGCAGGTTAAGCCATATAAGCTGCACAGTCTCCTTTACAAACTTTGTATGCTGATAACCTTGCATTTCTGCTCTAAGGATGTGGTGTCCAAGGATGTCGGCCTCCGAACATTGACCTCCGCCTTATTCCCTGCTTTCACGAGAGGTCGGATAACATTGGTATACTAATTAAAGCTCAGTGTCAGCAGCACAGTAATTGGTTTACCAGGCTATGTTCGGCAACTTGCAACTGCACAGCCATATGTGGAATACCACCATAAGTGGTGTCCGGCACAAATAGTGTCGCTGTATGAGTGGTATCCCACTATACGTGGGATTGCGCGATTTGTCAAAGCTCGAAAAATCTTTATGTACAATCCCACTATAAGTGGGATTCCACCTAAAGTATGATCCCACCTCGAGTATGACAAGTTACCGGGAGACTTAGCTGGTTCCTGATCTGCGGCGCAGATCTACAGCTTACATGCGCGCTTTAACGTAGTCATAGACAACGATCTCCCAAGCGTTGGGCAGCCCAACGTAGCAGTCAGAATAGGCGATAGGTTATCAGTTCCCCGTGGGCCTGGTCAGTCCGCGGCTCAGCCGTCTTGAAGCCCGCCCCAGCACGGGACGAGAGGCGCTGAGGAGCGCTCTACGTCTACAGCAAGACTAGGAGTGCGCCTTCCGGTTACGGGAGGCAGAGACGGAACCAGCAAAACGCGTGGCTGGCGGGGCACAACGGCAGCGTCCTTGACAGCGAGGACCTACGGCCGCGTCAGCCTGACCCTGCAGTGCGCAGCGCTACGGCCGTGGTCAGCGGAGCAAGGGCGGCGTTGCGCTTGTTGCGGCCAGAGTCACGGTTGCCATTGCGGCTTTGCAGTCGCCGTGGCAATGTGGTTGGCATCAACACGACCCTGCGGCAGCACGCGATTTTCTCAGCAGCAGAGCAGGAGGGCGTGGCGCTGCTGGAGACGCAGGGGAGCTTTGGGGTGGGCCTCCAGGCCTGCCTGAGCTTCGGGGTCAAGGTGAGGGGCTACATCACGCTAGAGTCCAGGCCAGCGGTGAGGGCGGCCATGGGCCGCCTCGTGGGCGAGCTGCGTTCTGCACATCCCGCGGCGCTGAGGCCGGACACCTGGCGGCAGGCGGCGGGACAGGCCCCGCCGCCGCCGGGTGAGGCTGCGGTTCTGCGGGTGGCGGACCTGCCTTTCCAGCAGGGGGGGCAGTGGCTTGTGGTGGGGCATTGGGGCAGCGGGGGAGATTGGGGTGAGGCGGACATGCTGGCCTTGGTTGGGGGGGTGCAGCAGCGGCTACAGTAGCTGGGGTGCCCAGCCCCAGCATACATTCTTCAAGGGCCGACGACAACGGAGCAGCAGCAGCACGACATCGGATCGCCATTCGGGCTGCCGTGCTTGCTGGATGTCGTTCAGGCCGGGGTCGCGATGCACACTGCTGCCGCCGTCTACACAAACCTCGCGGCAGCGGAGCACCTGCAGCTCGTGCTGCAGCGCTTGCGACCCCCGCCAGAACGTGGAGCCATTACCGCTGGTGCCCATTCACATTCCTGGGCAGCGCCTTCGGGCGTTACCGGAGCCATCAGCACACAGCGGAGCCTTGCTGCGAACCGTGCCTGGTGACCAACCCTGCCATCCGGATGTCAGTGTCTGGGAGGCGGTGATGGGTCATCGGCAGGGCGTAGCAGCATCCCTCGCAGCAGACGTGGCGGTACCATTGCTGCGAGACTCCATTGCACCCCCAACGGTCATCACTGTGCTGGCCTCGGCGCTGGCGCTCCAGCGGCACTACGTCACTCCACATGACACGCATTCCCTTTCACCGAGACGGCTGTCGCTGGGGGGGGGGATCCGGCCCCATGGGGCAGGCGCCGGGCGCGAGCTCGGATGACGTGGAGACTGTGGTGGTGCGGGGCCTTTTGCAGCGACAGCCGACGTCGGAGCTGGCGATTGCCTTGACGACTATGGTGGCGGAGGTGGCTGACGCCGTTGAGGCTGAAGCCGACCCCCTCTGCATGGACGTCTGGGACGACAAGCCGGTCATCGAGGCGCTGCGGGCGGGCGACGCGGCCTCTGGGGGGGCGATGGGATTGAGGAGGGTGGCTCGCCGCGCGGCTCGCTACAGGTGGGATGGAGTGCAGCTACTGCTGCTTGTGCACGGCGGGCGGGCTCGCGTCTGTCCGCCGCCGGCCGCGCGGTTGGCGCTGGCGGAGGCTACGCACAAGGTGGGGCATTACGGGGTGAAGCGGACGTTGGCGCTGCTGCGGGCAGGGCACTGGTGCAGCCGCTGGAGGTGAAGGGGCTGTTTTATCGGTGGGGAGTGGACCTAGCGGGGCCTTTGGCGGAGTCGGTGCCGGACGGAAACGTCTACTGCATGGTCACCATCGAGCATTTCAGCAAGCACGTGGAGATCACGCCTCTCAAGGACAAGACGGCACGGCGGGTGGCAAAGGCGTATGCAGACGTGTTGGCGCGGTTCGGGGCGCCGGAGCCCCATCCCCATCTCAGGCGGATGGGGCGGCGGAGCGCATCGTCAAGGTACTGAAGGAGGCCTTGCGGAAGGCCTGCTACGAGGCGGCGGATCCGGGGGCCTGGGAGCGGGCTCTTCCTGAGCTGCTCCTGGGCTACCGCTGCTCTCCGCAGGCGGCAACGCGCTTTTCGCCGTACCAGCTGCTCTATGGGGGTGTGGAGCCGGTGATTCCGCCTGCCGTTCGTGAGCGGCTGGCGGAGCCCGTTGACTTCGACGACGTGAAGGCGGCAGCGGCATCGATTGTTGACAGAGCGGAGTGGGTCCGGCAGGCGTACCCAGCGGCGGCGGGCAACCTGCTGATAGCGCAGCACCGTGACACCCTGCGCTACTCAGCCATTCGCACCGGCCGCTACCTGGCCAAGCCTATGGTCTTTTCGCCGGGCGACTACGTGTCCGGCGGGGCAACGTCGCCCACACCCTGCAGTTCCGCCAGTACGACAACATCCTGCGGGTGGAGTCGGTGGGTCCTATGGGTGTGGCGGTGCTGATGGGCCGTGACGGCTCGCGGGTGCGGAAGCGGGTGGAGCAGCTGCTGCCATGCCATCTGGAGGTGGACCCTGCGGTTAGGCCTGAGCTGTTCCGCCCGGAGCGGGACCTGCAGTGCGAGGTCTGTGGCTCGCCGCATGATGGCAGCAAGATGCTGTTGTGCGACGGGTGCAACACCGGCTGGCACTGGCATTGCCTGGGCCTGCGGGGGAAGCCTCGGGGGCAGTGGGTGTGCCCGCGCTGCCGCGAACTGGAGCAGGGACAGCAGGAGGCCGCCGCCTCGCCGGTGCTGCCGCCGCCCCCCGGGGTGGTGGCGGCGGCGCCCGGGCAGCCGGGCCAGGTGGCGGCGGGGGCTGAGGCTGCCGCTGGGCGGACTGCGCGCCGTCGGGGGCCTTCGCGTGCGGGGGCGGCCAAGCCGGCGGCGGTGGCGCTCGTTTCGGCGGGTGGGGTAGGCCTGGGATGTGGGTCGCCGGCGGGGGCGGCTGACGGGCAGGGGGCGACAGCAGGGTCGCGTGAGGTGAAGGGGGACGTAGGGCAGAGTGAGGGGCCGGTCACGGGGGCTTCGGGTAGGCCGCAGCAAGTGGTGATGCGGGATGAGGTCGGCAGGTTGCTGTTTCCACGTACGGAAACGAGGAGGTTTGATGAGGAGGTGGCTGCCTTGGATGGCAGGCGGGTGCGCCGGGAGGGGGAGGGGCTGCGTGTGGGGGTCTTGCGGTATCGAGGGGCCATCATGAGGCCCGAGTATTTTGTGGTGGCCTGGGAGGACGGGGGCCGAGAGCAGGCCACCCTGGCATGCGTGCGGGAGTGGCTCATCTGAGCGGGCGTGAGCGGGGGTGCGGTGCTGGGGGGGCCCTGCGGTCCTGAGGGGAACCGGTCCTGAGTGGGTGGCTGCGCTCTGGGATGGCGGGCTCGCGTTGGGGTTAGGGGGCTGCGCTGTGCAAGGGCGGGGCCGAAAGGGCTGGTCTGGATTCCAGGGGGAGTCGAAGGGCTGAGGCTGCCGTACAAGTGTGGGGCCTGCGGACTGGGGTTTGGGTGTTAGGGATGGCCTGACGGGTCAGGTGCTGAAGAAGAGTGGACGGACGGTTATTACGGCCCGAGCGGACGGGCAGGAGAGGAACGGACGGACGGTTATTGCGGCCCGAGCGGGCGGTCAGGAGAGGAACGGACGGACGGTTATTTTGGCTCGGACGGACGGCCAGGGAAGGACGGAGCGAGTGTCATGCCTTCTCGTGCTGTGGCGTGACCTGCAGTGGTCTCTTTCCGCGCTTTGCCTGTGTTGGCGTGGTCGGGGGTCCTTGCGGACAACCAACCCAATGCTGGCTTGGTTGTGGGGGGGAGTACGGACCCCGGTGGCACTAGAGGGCCAAACCAGCGTTGGGCCACGACAGCTGTCGTGCCCCATCGTTGGCTCGTGCAGTTTGTGGTCACGGGTGGTGACGCTCGCGGGCATGTCCCATGGTTCAGTTGGATGATGACGGTGCGAATTGCTACTGCTGAGGTGACTGAGTGGTTCCGGTTATAATGGCTGGTATTATCGCAGTTCCTTTGCTTTAAGTGTTGTGGGCTGTGGAGAGATCGCTCTGGCGTGTCCAGAGTATCTGTCGTACAAGTGCTTGTCTCGTTAGGCGGCGCAGTGCCCGGGCTAGGGCACTGCGTTTTGCTCACATACTCATGTACTGCCTGTAAGAACCATGAAGGGCTTCATGCGTTCCTGATCTGCGGCGCAGATCTACAGCTTACATGCGCGCTTTAACGTAGTCATAGACAACGATCTCCCAAGCGTTGGGCAGCCCAACGTAGCAGTCAGAATAGGCGATAGGTTATCAGTTCCCCGTGGGCCTGGTCAGTCCGCGGCTCAGCCGTCTTGAAGCCCGCCCCAGCACGGGACGAGAGGCGCTGAGGAGCGCTCTACGTCTACAGCAAGACTAGGAGTGCGCCTTCCGGTTACGGGAGGCAGAGACGGAACCAGTACGGACCCCGGTGGCACTAGAGGGCCAAACCAGCGTTGGGGCACGACATGGGGCCGCGGGTCAAAAGGGAGACAGTCAAAATGGTTATGGTTAGGCCTGAGAAATAAGCACCAAGGGGGGGCCCAAACCCAAGACCAAGCAGGTAGGGAAGGGCAAGACAACGCAGCTGCAGCCCATGCAGAAGCAGATGAAGCGGAACAAGCCGCTGAGGAGGCATTTGGACTCCCACCAGCAGGCAGTATACCGTATTGCCCAAAATTTAATTGACTGAAATAAAATGTTTTGGGTTTTGTCAAATGGGGCAAAAATGGTTTTTTGCCATGTCAAAAGGGGCTGGAAATTCGCTGGCAAGGTGTCAAATGGGGGCAAAATATTCCGCCAGGGGTGACTCCAGGGGAACCAAGATGGGAACGGAGAGGTAAGGGGCAACTGACTTGCCAGTGCGCTGGGTCCCCACCGCGATATGCCCAGCCGAGGTTTCGACTTATCCTCCTAGGGCTGCACAGCGGCATACAGCTGAACAGCTCCTTTCCTTACCAAGTAAATCAAACACGTACGGCGGCTTTTGGGGTGTTTTGGCGCATGTCAAATGGGGCTAGAAATTTGCCATCAGGAAGTCAAATGGGGCACAAATAATCTCCGCTTGTCAAATGGGGCTGGAAAATAGGCCTCCAAACGCATGTCAATAAAATTTTGGGCAATACGGTAGTGCGCCAGGTGTTGGAGCTCATGTTCCTAACACCAGACCCACATGGTGTGGGGCCGGATACACCAGCAGAGCAGGTTCTATGCGGGCCAGGTGGTGCAGCAGCAGACGAACGGGCAGTCGAGTAGGGGCAGGGGTTTTCACAACAGTTCTGCAGCAAGCACTAGGGCCACAAGCAGCGTTCCGGCGACATGCACCCACGGCGGTGTGCACGGCGTGTGGATGCTGCAGGCCACCAGGTCGGTGCCCCCTGCAGCCCTGGGCAGCAGTGCGCCCACTGATCCAAGTTGTGCGTGCCGACATTGGATGGAGAGAGGAGGTCTCGCGTGAGTGACACACGTTCTGGACGCGCCCTGTGGCAGAAGGGGAGGCCAACACGCCTCCGCCATGGCCGCCTCCACAAGCAAAAGGCCAACGACCAGGCCAGGGTGCATATCAGGACAAGCAGGGCGTGTATACAGAAGCAGATGGACATGGAGGATGACGATGAGGGAGGCTGGGATGTTCTGGCTGTGCGCCGCCGTGAAGTGCAGCAAGCCAACGCAGAAGTGGAGGCCGCAGTAGGGGGCATGGATGAGGAGGAGCCCTCAGACACCCGGGAAGCAGAGGAGGACGAGGAAGGTGTCGTGCAGCAAGGCCAGGGCCACCCGGGCCTTCAGCAGCAGGCAGCAGCATCAAACCCAACACCCGCACCCTCACTCGCAGACACAGTCATGTACATTACGTGGGCTCTGGGCGCAGGCAGAAGCCTTTCGGCAACGGGAGGCGGAGCGGCTGAGAGCACACCGGCGGACGAGGTTACTGCAGCAAGCAAGGAGTAGCCGCACGGCAGGCAGAAACAGAACTGCGACACGCAGCCCGGCAGGCACAGACCGGCACGGAGGCCAACGCAGGACGCCAACAAAATGCTGCAGCACACGCAACAGCTCGCAGACAAGCAGTGCAGCAGAGCAGGCAGCAGCAGGAGCACCTCCTGCCCGTAGTACTGCGGGCCTGATGATGAGACACATGTACCTAACACTTGGCCAGAACGGTGTGGAGCCGGATACACACACCAGCAGAGCAGGTTCCATGCGGGCCAGGTGGTGCAGCAGCAGACGAACGGGCGGTCCCAGTAGGGGCAGGGGGCTTCACAGCAATTCTTCAGCTAGCACTAGGGCTACAAGCAGCGTTCCGGCGGCATGCACCCACGGCGGTGTGCACGGCGTGTGGATGCTGCAGGCCACCAGGTCGGTGCCCCCTGCAGCCCTGGGCAGCAGTGCACCCAATCTACCAGCTGCTTCGTGCCGACATTGGGTGGACAGGAAAGGTTCCACGTGGTTGACGCGCCCGTTGGCAGTAGGGGAGGCCTGGACACCTCCGCCATGGCCGCCACCACGGGCACAAGGCCAGCGGACAACCCAGTGGGCCCAGCAAAACTAACATGGAGTTCCGGCTGAAGCAGAGGATGCAGAGGAGGAAGATGCTAGAGATGTACAGGCTGCACACCCTTGCCAACAGCAGCAAGTGCCAAAGTGGAGGAGGAAGAGCACGCAGGCACCCCAGAGGAAGATGTTGAACAAGGCCACGACCACCAAGCCCACCAAAGCAACAATAGATAAGCACACAAAGGAAACAGGACACAACCACGCAGCACGCAGCACAAACACTAGCGAACCAGACCGAAGCGATCTCGTGGCCTGCCCAAGCGGGTGTGCGGCAGGGGGGGGTGACGGTGTGGTGGGGTGGTTTAGTGCGTTTTTGCGGCTGCTTATGATGGCGGTGTGTGGGAGTCATGCTTGGGTGGGTAAGGTGGCGGGCTGGGGGGCTGACGAGGCTGCTTAGGAGAGTGGCGCATGGGTGTCCCGTTTGGGAGGGTCAGATGGCTGCGTAGGGTCATATGAGGGAGGCGTTTACAGCGTCGAGGGGCATGCCTGGATAGTGCGAATTGGCTTATTGCACCAGCAAGCCCGGCGTCTGCGGCCCTCAGGGGCAAGCCGTCTTGTTAAGTAGGGTTGCAATTGCGTTGGCAACTCGAGGGTATCATAGGCGTGCACAGTAACTGACGCACGGTCCTAGGTATCAGTTGCCCTCGCCGTCACCCTCATTCGAGCACAGGGATGGGGTGGGAATGGGTTGGCAAGGGGAGTCACGGGGAGAGAACAATAAAGGCATGGAAGCTAAAGGATGGCGTGGGCAGGGAAAGGGATAGGAAAGCAAGAACAGGGTTGGTGGTGAAAGGAAAGCGAGGAAAGGTAAGGCAACAGGAAAGTAGGGGTGGGGAGGACAGGGCGGTGGCATGGTTTGCATAGGAAAAGTGTATTGAACCGTGGAGGCTATAACATCCAGAGAGGCTGAGTTTGGGATCCAAGCTTTGGCAGGGGAGGGGAGGGGATGGAGATCTGCAGGCTTCCTCTGCTGCTTCAACTGTAGTGTAGGTGCACCTCTGCACTCCACTGCGTTTGTCATATGCTGGCAGAGCCTCGTCGCCAAAGTTGTCTTCTTCTATGTGGGCAGGGGCTTGTGGGTGGCATTCAGAGCATGTTGGGCTAGTATTCAGTGGTACGCTCTCTTCGGTGCAGCATTCCTCCAGCACCTTTTCTGAA